TATATATATATATATATATATATATAGACTGTGTTTTTTGCTGTTATTGTGAGTAGTCAATGATCACATTTATTCAGAAATCAAAGGGTTCACATACTTTTTCCTGTAACTGTATGCTCATGGTTGTAATGCAAATACCTTGATAAGAAGGGAAACACAAAATACAGTTTTCCATTATATAATCCCCATAACAAGACTACTAAGTCGAGCATTAGGAAAATCACAAACCTAACAAAACGGTGACTTTAGCGAGATGATGTGTTCTGCAGCAAATAAATGACTGCCTACAAGGTCTGATTTCCTGTGTCTCAGCTTTTCCCAGCATCCGTGTTCTGCAAAACCAGCCAGCTCTTCGGACTAGCGATGGCACAGTACAATTATCTAGCACCCACAAAGGGGGCCTGCGGCATTAGACTGCGGCTGGGAAGGAGATATTGAGCATCTTTTAATGCTGTGGGAGCGGTGCATGATGTACATCATGAGGAGAGGAGATGTGTATATGTATAATTGCTGACAGGAGGGCTAATTATCACAATGGATCTCCACAGGTGCGCTGGTTCTGCTGAAATTTTCCACCTCACACACAATAACGAAGCCAAATCAGAAATCTACAGCTGCATGTTGCTACCAGCTAACGAGGAACTAATCTCTGTTCTGCTGATTGCATTGCGCAACATATCTGGGAGAATCATAATAGTTGTTCAGAAGAGTAGCCAAACAATGCTATGGCATGGGACGTTTGGAGTGAACCTGGAGGCTAGAATACATTACGTAGGTCTTAGGATTTTACTGTTTATCTTCATAACAATTACTTGAAAATTTACAAATATTTAGTAGCCTCTGGAAATGGGCTCAAACTATTATCATGGTGGTTCTTTCTTTAAAAATATTTTTTTTAATTAAATATTAAATTAAATATATTAAATATAAATATATTTTTAAATATATATTTGTTTAATTATATGTATAAATTACATGATAATATTAAATAGTAAATACATATTATCTATTAAATACAAATACTAAAATAGTCAGTGAACGTGCATCGAAGACTGACACTGGAAGAGAAGAAATTGTGGAATAAAATTGTTATTTTTGTTTTCTTTGTGCACAAAAAGTATTCTCGTAGCTTCATAAAATTAAGGGTGAACCACTGGTGTCACATGGACTATTTTACCAATGTCCTTACTACCTTTCTGGGCCTTGAACATGGTGGTTATGTTGCTGTCTATGGAGGGTCAGAAAGTGCTCGGATTTCATCAAAAATATCTTAATTTGTGTTCCGAAGATGAACGAAGGTCTTACAGGAATGACATGAGGGTGAGTAATTAATGACAGAATTTTCATTTTTGAGTGAACTATCCCTTTAAGAACAGAGAAGAGGTGAGCAAAGAAAGGTTTCTTGGAGCATCTTATAACGGATCACTGTTGCCACTTTCCTACTGATTTTAAATATCAATAGCTCTTCTAAATGTCATGTAAAACAATGTGATCCCCAATTCTGGCTGATCTAGGATCAGCGCGCACACATAAGACAGCATGTGCTCCCTTGAGAGTGTGTGTGTGTGTGTGTGTGTGTGTGTAAGCAAGGCATACTGGACACTGATGAATTCTGACTCACTCAGATACCCTGCTGGTTCACACGCAAACCCCTGAAGTGTGTGTATGTGTGCTTGTGTGTATAACAAACATCTCGTTCCAGGCTGGAAACATGCCTCATTTCCCAGAGAGACCACACTCATGTTCACATCAATCCAACATCAGTCCCACATAACAAGAGTGTCATGGAGAGACACTTAACAGCAAGTTTACATGATCAGAGGCTGCTGGGATATCAGTATCCCATCTGTGATGACAGAAACATTCATTCCAATTCATTCACAACCAAAAAACAAATAAATCATCTGTTTTTCATCTTGTTTTTCAGTAAAAATATGTAAACAACAAGATAAACTGTCTTGAGAAGCTAAATGGTGTGAGATTAGACTTGTTTTCAGAGAAAATCTATTTAAAATCTATTTGTTTTTATGTTTCAAGCATAAATCTTCGCTAGTTTTTGCTTAAAAAAAGAAAAAGAAATTGCCATTGCGGTAAGGATTTTCTGAAGCTTTTTAGGATAATTTACTGAAAAACATGAAAAACACAAAGAAAATGAATTCTTGCAGTTCTATTAGTGTATGTAAATTTATGTTTAAATAGATGAGGTCTACCTGACATAGAGTGAGCGTTTTTGATTGGTTCTGAGGGATCCGGATCCAGAACTCATGCTGTGGTTCATCATCTGCTCTCGTAAGTCATGAATCTTGGCCTCAAAACGCCCGTATTCTGTAAACACAAACATAACCAAGCAAGCGTAAACATAATGCAACTTTTTTTTTTCAAATCAAACATCAAGCTCTGGAATGGCAACTCTAAAACCACAAGAACAGAACAGAGCACATGCAAACAAACAGTCTCAAATCAAATAATTAATAAAAAGATCCCTTGGGAGAAATGCTGTCCAGAAAGGATGTGGTGTTGTAGAGTCTTAGTGTATGAGATGACAGCTCCGATCGATACAAGATACAGTAGCTGTTCTGTGCTGACTTCTAGCACAAGGTCACACAGTCAATATAGGAAATGTAGAAGAAATAGAGAGAGAGTGAGAGAGAGAG